TCAGCTGGTGAAAGTGGATCAGATGCAAAACGCGGTTTGGCGGGAATGCCGACCAGCTGATTGGCTTGTGGAGCCAGACCGGTGGTTTTAGCCACACCTGGGTTGGTTACAAAACAGGTGTTTGTGTACGAAGTTTTTAAATACTAGTGATTGAATGTTCCTTATTGATACATTACCGTATGGGTCGTATATTTGAAATATTGCATGTGTTTCTTTAGATTTTGGACACAAACACACCCCTTCTTGCCAGGAAAAATACTCAACCAAAACACAAAATAAAAATAAAAAAACTAAAACATCAGAACTGAACTTCTCACATTGGTTGTTTGTTTTGTCTACCTCTGATGTTTTGTGGCCATCTAATGTATTGAAATTGCTGTATTGCTGTTGGGATTATAAATAAACTAGCTTGTACCCACGGCTTCGCCTGCGATGGTATAACCATAAATATCATACAGCACAAGAAATAAATAGAGTATTACAAACATTACAATAATTATCCGTAGTGACTTCGTCAACGATCACGAAAATAAGCTATTATCACTATTCGTTGCGTAACGCACAGTTTAAAAAATCATGTTACGATTAAAAAGTCTACGATGATTAAGTTACAATTAACAACTAAATGAAAACCATTTTGTTTAATCTCCGACTAAAAATCTTACAGCATAAAGTCTTGAAACTGAAAATTCCGCGGCTCTTCATCAGCTTCTCCAAGTATTTCATAGCTGTATCGTCTCTTCTAATACAGGTAAAGACACTTTTCCAACAGAACAGCACATTCCAACAGGCTCGTCTTTTCATTTTATTGCTTTGCAATGTATACACTCTTTGTCCATTCCATATATTTTTAATAATTAATATAGATCGTTTAGTCTATTAAACTAAACGATTGAGCTAAACGATGAGATCGTCGTGGTATCCCATTGCATCATATTTAAACACACACCAAGAATCGAAGTATCTCTGTTGAATGATTGTAGATAATTATTGAAATAAAACATAAACATAACTGTAAACAATCCTACTTTGACAGTTCTCATTTTAAATTACAGATTTTTGTTGCTGCTGGTTGAAATTAGCTATTGTCATAAATATAAAAATTGTAATAGTGCTGCAACCTGTTAGTAAACCTTATAACTTTTTAATGCTATCGAATATCATATAATCAACTTGTCTAGTTGAAACAGCTGTCAAAATTATTTAATTTCTTTTAAAATATGAATACTCATAAGTCTAACATGGTAAATTCCATAGCCACTGGGGTGGAGCCCGAAAGGAATTTTGAGATAAGAATAGGCTTATATGTTAATCGGAAATATGAACTATCATAATGCCAAATTTCAGCCCAATCCGACTAGTAAATAATGCGTGATTGAACTTTAAACTAACATACCAACAAACAAAACTTTCAGATTTATAATATTTATGAATATCTCATACATTTGGCTTCTTTAAAGTATTTGTTGTAGGCAAATGTATTGTATTTTTTCTGATCAGTATAATAGATTGAGTTTAGAGTATATACGTTTAACTCCTTTTCTATTTTAAAACATGTACAACAACAGAAGAGTGTATTTGTCAATTCTTGCTTATTTCCTGGTATTGTTACTGTAGAGTTAAGCATACATAAAATTTACCCTATGTTAGCACTAACACATCAAAACTTGCTTCAAATTCTGTGTTACAAATGTATACTTTCAGTATTCAAAGTCAATAGTGGGATTAATTATTCAAAATTATTTCATAATATGGAATTTTCAAACTAATTAACTATATTTTGTATCAGGTTTTAATTATTTTACCCATCATTGCAAGGATTTATTTAAAAAGTTGACTGTGAGAAGGGTTTTAAAACCCTGTATATAGCAAATGTATTATTAGTTTATAATTATTGCAATAAATGTTAAACCATGACACGGCCAAAGTGCCGTGCACACAGACAGCACACAGACCACAGATACAGACCATGTACACAGAGAGTGCTTTGGTTATTTTTAACACAACTATGAATAAAATATAATTCTATTTTGCAGTTTTTCTCATATATATTTATTTAAGCTACAATGCTAACAAGCTGACATTTACATAACTAGAAGCACAAAATTATGATCTGAGGAACAGAATGAATGGTCTGAGTCATAATGAGTGATAAAAATGAAGAATGTTCAATACAATGACAACAGACTTGACTTAAGTTGATCATCCATTACATTAACTTCAGTCGTAAACGACTGAAGACTTTATGTGGAACTGTTATGTGCAATCGTTTAAATCACTCGTAATTTGCGCGTGTAAAATTGTCTTTACGTTTATGAGACAAGTTAGTAAGATTATATAGTTTAGGGTATAAAGGAAATTGTTTTTTCTGTGTATAAATATAAGCTTTTGTTATAGTTTCTTTGTGAAAATATAACTGTAATAATTAATAAATAAAAAACTTTTTTAAAACAAAACGTTTTTAATTGCACTAAGAAGTAGCAAATAATTTATAAATATGTAGAGAGTATAAATACTTGTAAGATTTAACACGAAAAACGTGGGGTGCATGCAATAGATAATTTACAATTACCTTCACCTAATGAACTAAATAATGTATTATTACCAATTTCATGCACCCCACGTTTTTCGTTTTAAATCTTACAAGTATTTATACTCTCCACATATTTATAAATTATTTGCTACTTTTTAGTGCAATTAAAAACGTTTTTTTAAAAGGTTTTTATTTATTAATTATTTTCTACTTTTTAGTTTTTAATTTGTTTGAATGTTAAATCTATTTCAAGAATCTATATCAGATTAAGACAGACGCAAGTGGGAAATCTATGGTTTATTTGAGTTTCTTTTAATATAATTATATATTAGATTGAATGTATGACCTACCTACTAACTATAAATATATCAATCTATTTAATTTATTGTTTACTTTATAGAATACTAAATAAATAACAATTGACATTATTAACAAACACCTTTATATCTGCAATCAGATTGTTTATCTTTATTTTGAATTGTTTTTGTTTGTATAAAGAATATCTTGGGAGCATAACCTGTACCTCTTAACCTCTGCTCTTCGAACTGTCAAATTTAAGTATTTACAGCTGACTTAAATTCATTGATATATTTACATTCTTTCAAAATGTAAACATGAAAAAATTGGAAGGCCATGGGGCGTAGCCCAAGCAAAATATGAAAATTAAATTATATAATATTGCATTGTCATCCATTTGTGATCTATGTTTCAAATTTCAAGTCTCTAGTATAAAGTTAGTATACAATTGATTGCAAAATTTGTACCGGACAAGAAAGCGAGCTAATAAAAACGTTTTAAAAATATCTACCGATTATTTGACTCCTATGATTTAGTTTTTAAAAACAAGGGTCATTGACAAAGTTCTAAGAAATATATTTAAAGTTGTTGGTTTAAGTCTTTGTCCAGCCCTTATCCTAATCAAATATATTTGTTTTTAATAAAATGTATACTCAACGTAATTTGAAATTTTATATTATAATAAACTAATTTCGTTTAAATTAAATTAAATTTTTTGAGCTTGATTTCAAAAATGAAATACTATTATTTGAAATAATACACGGTTAGGATTAAGGAACATATTTCATTACAACCACATGATAGAAAAATATGTTACATAAGATATACAATTAATGGTTTAATAATCGTCGTACACCATTCAACATATCTCCATGCAGTCGAACTATTGTAAAATACACTATAAAACCGAGTGTAGTTTGGAAAACGTTTGAGTTGAAGACAATAGCCAAACATATATTTATACTTTAATAACGACCATAGCCCTCATTTACATTTAGCCATGAACTACACAAATTAATTCCGTTTTTTAGTGACTTAGTGCCTTAATTCAACAATAGGAGAACATTAATGATTTCATCGTCTGGTGACGAAAAATCAAAAGGGAAAGCAGGACAACTATACAGGACATTGAATGCATCATTTTCAGAACCAAATAATATAATAGTTTCTATAACCTTGCAAAAATATACATGTATTTTACAGCTAGTATTCCCTTTACACACTTCCGGCAAGAATTTGATGATTTGACCTTATATATCCTATTGTTGTTATTCATAATATAAGTTGGTATTTCCGAAGAACATTGCTAATGGCTTGTTTATTTCCCTGATTCTGTTGTTAACGTGGCAGTCCTGTAGTCGTTGAAAGGACCTTTGATGGATTGTCACGTTTGAATAAAACAACCTACAAAATTAATAAAAAAATCATTACTGCAATTGTTTGTTTAGTAAATGTAGGGGATTTACATAAGTTTTTCAATACATTAATTTATGGTAATTGAATATATATTGTTTGTTAGCAAGACCGACTTTTACCATTCTTTTGAGGGAGGGAATTTTGCATTCAATGACTATTGCTGCAAAGGTGAATGCAAGAGATTCTATTTGAAGAGGAAAATAATTTTGTATTACTAAAAAAGTAGGCTAATTTAATATTTTCTATACGTTTTCAAATAAAAATATGCAATAACTATTTTGGAATTATATCAATAATAGAATATTTTTACATTGTTAATAATAATAGACATAATTTTTTTAAATATGGGTTATCTATTATAAAACCTTTAAACGTATTGTTTCAATATTTTATTGAATAAAAAATAAAATACATTGCCACATCAATATTTATTGTGGAAAGAATGTTGAGTAATTCTTTACGTTTGTATTACTTGTTATATTTGGCGTTCTTTATTTATTTGTTACTTGGAAATATGAAATACTACTAATACATTTAGCCTAAATTAAGTCCTGGAAAATATAGTTATAATTTAAAACTTCAAATAAAGATACTACTTTCCTATGATACCATAATTTTATATAAAGTTCTAAATAAAAATTTTATGAATTAAGAATTTATTAATCTGATGTATACACTCTATCACCTATCGATATTTTAAACTAATTTAAAGTAAAATATTATATAAACCATAAATTTAAACAAAACAAATTACCTCAAATGTATCCCCTTACAATAAAGCCACATGAATCCACCGAAGGTTTGTACACACCACTCGCGCACGCACAAACACACATTTCCCGCCGTCGTCGCGGGTACAACTGCCGGACTCGCGGGTTGGCGGGAGGCAGCGCACAGAGTAAGAAGTCTAGGAGGGGGGACGGGTCAGGGCCGACACACGATGCTTCCAAAAACGGCCAATATATATACTTCAACTTTATTTTCGTATTGCACAACTAAATTCCTCACATGAAGGGCTATGCGGAATTTGTGCCAAGAAAATTCTTACACCAGTTTAAATGGTGCAGGAGCTTCTCAATTAAGGTGCTGGAGGGGGAATTTGTGTTTTGAAATGCGCAAGAAAATCTTAAACATTGATAATTTGATCAAGTATGAAATTGTGTGTGGTAAATTTTCTTTGCATGTCGTGTGGCAAGTTCAATGACCGAAAATTATCTTACCTTGGAGTAGGTAGGAGAGTGAAAAAATGTATTCAGTGTGAATTTGATAACTTCTTAGGGCATTCAAAGCTACAATTTGATCAATTATTAAACTATTAGTGATATTCTATTACGTTATGTGTGTGACAATAACTTTTTATACATTTATTGTTTTTAATGGTGGACGATATTTAATAACATTTCCAATATTATATTACTGTTATGACGTAACATTTGTTTCACACGAAACAATACTGAATACATTTTATTTTAGTGAGCAAGAGAGAGTGAGAGAGGGGGAGTGAGTGAGTGAGAGGGGGCAGATAAAACAGATTGAGAGATACGTAAGTAGTAAGCGCCATCAGTACCACCCAACGTTGAAGTCTCCGGCCAAGGTGAACGTATTGCTTAACTGACCATCGACCAGTGTCGATCTTTCCACTTGTGGTATTTTTATTCCAAACTTGTCACAATTCGATGGTATCGCCTTTCATTGGTTATTTCATTGGTTTTAATTGGTTATTCTCATAATTAACTAACAACAACTGCATGAATAGATTTTTTATTGATTTTCTTTATATTATACTAGTTGTTACCCACGGGCTTCACCCATTTTGACTTCATAAGTATTAACAAAACTATTGATTGGTTAGGTTAAGCTGAAATAAACAAAACATACTTACAGCTGATGTATTTTTAACATTAGGTATATGGAAAGTTCCCTTTGGAAAGCAATTACGACCTTATAGGTCAATTTAAGAAATAATGGATAATTTTGCGCAAGGTTTCTCGTCATGACGAACATGTTAAGTATATGGTTTATGGGAGTGTGACTTGTAGTTTCCTCAAAAGTTCATGGGCACTTTTGTCTTTATATATAGATTCATAAAAAAGAAGATAAACCAGTTAACATAGGAACACTAACTCATATGACGGGTGGTATAAGAAATGTGTTATTCATTGAATGATCAACCATATTTTGTAACTAACGCAATAGTCATTATTGTTTCTACATCTATTTAGTACTCATTAAACAATGCTAAATGCTCACACTTTATAATTTCACTCTTTTTGTCGCAGTTAGAAGAATTGTCATAAGCCTTTGAAGCAACCGTCAATTTCAATGGATCTCACCTAGTTTTCATTTATTTTAAAAATGCAGAACCTATACTTTGAATAAAATGAGTTAAAAATATATTAACTTAAAATAATTTGTTCATAGTGACTATAGAGTAAAATATGGCCAAAGACTTATTCCTTATTAAAAGGAAACCAGAAGATTGCGAAGAATTTTAAGTGTTAGATAGCCTGAAATGATGTAAGGAATTGTGGAATTTGACAATTAAAATCCTGATTGAGGTTCAGAAAAAAAGATAAATTAATAATAGAAAAATACTTCTTAACAAAAAACAACCTACATGTTATCAAAACGTCCTGGAGTGAATTTCTGCCGGTAAAAGAATATTTATAATTCCTAGAGAGTTGACCAAAAGGCTGCTAAGACCTTAGTTTGCTAATTAGAGACTCCCGCACCGCCTTATCATCTTATCCAACTATTTTATGGTGATTCTAATCAAACTGTTAACAATATGATTTCAACTCCAGCCTTCATCTGTTTACGGTAACTATTATTAGTCAACAGAGGTCCTTGGGTGATGGTTTGGATAAATTACCTGAATATCATACAATTAAGATTGTAGACTATCTTCACTGTCAATTTGCTATTTGCATGGTTACTTATTAAAGTACCATAATTAAATGCAAATAATCAAACTCCCAAAAAGATTCGCAGCTAATATAGTGTTTAGATTGCGGTTTTTAGACCCAGATTCAAGTCCTCCTTATATTTATGGAAGCATTTAAATACGTAATACGTTATTTTGGTAAGGTACATTACTAATATTATCGTTACCCTGCTATTATTTAATATTAAATTTCAGTTGGCAGGATTCAGCTTATCCTATTTAAATAAGTTAAAAGGAGGTGTATTTATTTATTTATATTGACGTGAAAATGTTGACATTTTATTCTTGTTCCTATATAAGGACAATCTAAAAGTTTATAAGGGCTCTACTCGTATACCAAAATTGTTACTATAAGTTGTTAGGTTATGGGCAATTTAGTTAGATAATGGTTTATTTAGTATAAGGTATAGTAAACACCAAACAACCATAGCCTGACATAGTTGATGTTTATTCTATGATTATTAACATTTTTGAGTTGATTTACAAATTATTTTTACCTATACACATTGATTAATACAGTACCATAATGTTTGCTGGGGGAATATGTCCAATAGCGTTTAAAGTCTGTTTCTGTAACCGACCCATCTTTTCTCAGTCGATGATAAATAACAAGGTGGGATCAAATCACCAGACACCAGCTTTCACGTCAAAAGAAAATTTCCATTGGTGTTTGGTGGGATTTGAACCCCAGTACATTATTCTTAAAGACATTATGCGATTTCAATTGTTACACAGCATATTGACTTAATTATATCAATTTATAAAAGAAGCCATATTAAAATTCGTAAATGTAGAATTATATGTTACTACTGATAGGCGTAGTTGATAGAGAACAAAGCACAATTTACCTTTAGACTGAGAATTTATATACTGTATTCCCTAACTTTCTAATTTTATGACGCTTGTGTACGGACACATTAAGGTAGCATAAACCTGATAATTTATAAGGCGCTCCTAGATTCAAACGGTTTAGTAACTAATTAACATATTGTTACCATAAAGACCGGTTTGGCTGAATTACAGGGAACACTTTCACTTTAATACGTTTATTGCCAGTAAACCAATGGGGAATATAGGATTGTGCTGTTATACATTACAGCTTTTCATTAGTTCATAACATCACTGAAATAATTACTATCGAGACTCACTTTAGCCAAGTCCCAGTGCTTTTCACAGTATTATTAAATACAGTGCCCTTAAATACCCTTTTTTCTAGTTTTTTATCGTTTATTTATTATTATTAGATTTCTTCTATCTTTACTTTTTTCAGATATTTCCATAATACTTTCGTTATCTGCTGTGGCTTCCTGGTAAAAATTATTTTTTCCTTTTTGGTAAATGTGTAATTAGTAGTTAGAGTAACAATTATTATTAAAACGATGTTAGATTATAATATGGATAGTCTGATAATAACTCGTTCCCCACGCACAGGCTTCGCCTATGTGGGGAAATTCCATTAATATTAAGAATACTGTTTTGTAATTTTTTGTTTATCATGGAATAAATGATGTTTGATTTGATTTTGATTTTTGACTTAGCATAACAAGCTCCAATCATTTAGTGCTTTACATTATTCATCTGTAGAAAAGTCTTAATGTTTTTGAATTGTTTCAAGAACTCGGTTGGACTCAAGAACATTAATAGATCAATATTTACCAAGCAAAAGAAGAAGAAAACGTATTAATTCCTAATGATTTAGGGTGTAATACGCTTTAACGTTTTACTATGCAACAATAAAATCTTTTAAATACTAGCTTTTATAGTTTACATCAGTCAAAAGCCCAACACTAGCGTTTTGCGTATGAAATAATATAGTTCGCGAGAAATGTTACTCTTTTGTATTATAAAATGATAATAGTTTCAGAAATAACTTTATAATCATTTTGACAGATATTTATAATTTTATATCTGACTTTTAGTTGACCCTTCTTCTAATCTATGAGGCTAAAGTTAATGTTTTTAAATTTATTTTTTTATTTTCTCATATTATGAGGGCCTGTCCTAATAATAAAAAAAAAATACTAAAAGACAATTTCCACAAAAAATTAAATCGTTGAGAATATTTCAGCAATTTTTTACAAAAACAGCCAAAGTTTGTAATTGTATTACAAATAAATCCCGTTGCGAAATTCCGCACCCCATAAATTAAAATGGTGCGGCTCTCCAGCTTAATCAAAGACCAATTTTAAGCATTGCTATAGAATATCCCAGAGAGCTTCGAAACTTTCTTAAGTCAATTAAGCTATAACGCCTTAAGCGATAAACTATGGCTACTTGTTAGATAAATTTAGATTCATTTTACCTTTCACGTTGTATAATTATAGTACATATACAAATTAAATTTCCAATAAAATATAAATTATAAAGTTATCAATTTCCCTGTAGTTATAATAAAAAATGTAATTAATCAATTTTTTATATGAACTAAAACCTACAATAATGTTGTAAATACTCAATAAATCTCAACTAATTTTTTTCAGAGAATCTGGACAGTAACATTACATTTTGGTTAGCAGTCAATTATTGTGTTAAGTTCCTTAAAATATGTATAAAATATATAAAAAAAATTCGTTGACTCTTACTAAAAATGTAGTCAGATTTAATGTTCTCCCTGAAAATCTGGGGTTTCCTTACACGAATCAGAACAACGACACAATTGAGTACTTTTAAATAAGCATTACATTGAAACACTTTTGGAAGGTCACGAGCCTTTCAGACCATTTAGGTAAATTTTAGTATAATAGACCCCTTAATCGTACAACTACTTTACTATTTCCAAGGATAATTCGTAGTTAAGAATAGCAGTAATTTGAACCAGGCCTACTTTTGGAACATTTTAGTCTTACAGTCACGTGCTATGCCAAGGACCATTTTGAGGTTATGGATATCTGAGTGGTGTTTTGT